CTACATGGAGGGGGATGGGGGAGTCTGGGAGAGTGGGAGGCTGCAGGAGCAAGCCGGGGGTGGGAGGGCAGGGCTGGAGGGAAGGTGCAGGAGCAGAGTGGGGTGCAGGGTCTAAGCAGGAGGTGGGACGCCAGGCAGGAGCACCAGTTCCCCAATGCTGGGGGGAGCCCTGAGCCTCAGGGGCCAGATGCAGGCAAGCTGGGGGCCGTATCCAGCCCCCAGGCTGTATGTTTCCCACCCCTGGGTTAGGGCCGGGGGGGATTGGGAGCCAGGACTCCTGGGTTCTACCCCCACCTCTCCATGCCTCAGCTGCAAAACCAGCCCTGGTGATCAGCACTTTGCACCAGCTTAGGGCAGGATGTGTGGGTCGGTGGCTAAGGGACAGGCCTGGAGGCCTAGACTGTGGGGTGCTGCACCTGGCCCTCTCTGCAAGTCCTGCCCCTTCTGTGCTTCTGCTTCTCCTTCCCTCACAGTGGGACTATGAAACTTAACTCCCTGGGGTCCAGTTCAGGTGCCCGGCCTGGGTCTGATGGAGCTGGGAACGGGACGCAGTCGGTGGAGCTCTGAAATCAAGAGCAAGCGATCAATTCAGCCAGGCATCAGGGCTTGCTTAGGGTGTGAACATGGGACTTGTTCAGCATAGGGAGGGGACTCCCAGCAAGTCCTGGAATCAGAGACAAGCCCCCTGCCCCGCCCCAGCTTTGCGGCTCTCCGTATCTGGGGCGAGGGAGACGTTTAACGGAACTGCGAACCCGACAGGGGCATTATGCAGCCTGCGTGAAAACCTTGGCTCACCCCCATCCACCGGGAGTGGGACCCTAAATGAGTCAGCATCACTGCGGAGCCTGTGCACCCCGCACTGCCTTGTTCACAGACGCCGCTGATCAGTCCCGTCCTTCTGTCCGTCCGCCCCTCGTCACCGCCCTGGGGGAGTGAAGCTCTCACACCCCGGAACAGACCTTGCCCCCCATTATTGGGTTCACCCCTTTCAGAACGAGACAGAGGGTCCAGACCGGAGGGATCGGTTTTCCAGGCTTTCTGAAACGGGAGATGTGCCAAGCGCTTAGAGCTGCTGTCGAGAAAAAAAATTCCTCCCACCACGAAACCTCTGTGAAGCAAAGGAAGCTCCAGGAGGCAGGGAGAATCTGTCTTAGTAGAAGCATTGCTAGCAGATTGAGGTGATGTGAGACCACGTCTAGCATACTATGCCCAGTTTGGGGCTCTCCACTACAGAAAGGACGTGGACAAACTGGAGAGGGTCCAGCAGAAGGCAACAAAAATGATGAGGGGGCTGGAACACATGAGTGATGAGGAGAGGATGAGGGAACTGGGCTTATTTAGGCTGAGGAAGAGAAGAGGGAGGGGGAATTTGAGAGCAGCCTTCAGCTACCTGAAGGGAGTTCCAGAAAGGATGGAGAGAGGCTGTTCTCAGTGGCGACAGATGGCAGAACAAGGAGCAATGGTCTCAAGTTGCAGTGGGGGAGGTCTAGGTTGGATATTTTGAAAAACGAATTCCCTGCGGGGGGAGGGAGGGTGAAGCCCTGGTATGAGTTCCCTAGGGAGGGGGTGGAATCTCCATCCCTAGAGGTTTTAAAGTCTCAGAGGGGCTGATTTAGTTGGTATTGGTCCACGTTGGAGCAGGTGGTTGGACTTAAAGCCCTCCCGGGGTCGCTTCCAACCCTACTCGTCTATGAACTGGGATCCGAACTGGGCCTGACACATCAGGCTTTGGGGCAAGGTCACTAGCTGAATCTCTGGGGCCGTTTCCAAAATTCAACTCTTGGAGCAGATTTCTAGCCGCCTCAACGCTCCCAGGTGTGTTTGGCCTGCAAGGATTTCAGGCGGGTTCCTTTCCGGTTTGTAAGCCAAATGGTGCTTTCGACTTGACTTGTGTAACTCTGCAGGGATTCTACTGCCTTTCACAGAGCCAGGGCTAGACTGTGATCTCACGTCCGTGTAAAGCGGGAGTAGCTATTCGGCGAGTGGGGTCGGATTCGCATCTCAGATACACTGGGGTAAATCCGGAGTAACCCCTGTGGACTTCCATGGAGTTTCTCCCGATTCACGCCGCTGCAACCAAGAACTGGCTCAGCTCTTTGATCTCTTTGATCTCCTGCACCCCAGTGGAGAATGCTGCAAAATGAGACCTGTCAAAAGAGCCCAGTCCTCATTTAGAAAAGAGATTGAGTTGCCCATGGCCTCCATGTGCCCCCATCATTCTCATAGTCCCAGTTGTCCCAACAGCTGTTTGGTTCAGGTAACTGAGGGCCAGGGAGCCAAATGGGACTAAGGAAGGGCAGAAATCTCAGATGGCTTTGTCCCGTTGCCTCTGAACAGCTGCAAAAATAATTCAATGGGGCAGGGATGTCGCTGGGTTTTTATCAGCACGGAAAAGGGTCGAGGAATGCTGTGAAAGTTCAGGGCTAAATTTTACCAGGGCTGCTGATGTGAACAGCCAGGAATTCACCCCACCCCCTGCCGCCTTCAGCCTGGTTGTGTTAGAGGAATCAAAAGAGATCAGGGCTGGGAGGCGGTTTCATGCCTGAGGAATGGGGTTAGAACAGAGCAAAGGGGGAAGCTGGCTTGGGGGGGGGGGTTATAGCCTTCATCCTGTTGGGTTTGTAGTAGCGGATTTCTACCCTCCTCACTCTCATCTCCCCAGGGGGATCTCTGGGGCCCCCAAAACATACCTGAACCCCTCCCCAGAGAAGTAATTCAGACCAACTTCCTCAGCCACTTAGCACAACAATCCAGTTCTTTCTCTTATCTTGTTCTGTCCTTTTTCATTCACACTCATCCTTCTCTTCTGGTTTTTTTACTTTTTCATTTTCACAATTTTCTTTCTTTCTTTCTTTCTTTCTTTCTTTCTTTCTTTCTTTCTTTCTTTCTTTCTTTCTTTCTTTCTTTCTTTCTTTCTTTCTTTCTTTCTTCACACCTCTTCTTCCTGCCCCTAATCCATGGGTGAATTTATTTCAGGTGCTCCTAAATCTCCTGCAATAGTACTTTTCTTTCTAATGCTGAGCAGGAATCCAGAGGCTCTGTGTTTTGCCCCAACACCCATGGGCAAGCTGTCAGTCTCAGTGATACTGGATCCAGCAGCCTGGTCAGTTTCACTCTTGGGGCAGAACCTGATTAAACCAGGCAGCAAATCTCTTCTGTGCCCCATTGATTTGGGGAGGGAAAATTGCTCATAGTGCTGAGTTATGGTCCTCTCGTTCCCATCCCTCGGGAAGGGAGGCTGAGTGATGATTTCCTGTCTGGGCAAAAGGCTGGGAGAGGATGGGGAGAAATGTGAGAGGAGAACTTGGCTTTGGACCAGCCGCTCGCCTGCAAACTGCCTCCCAGGGCGCGCAGGAGGGCCTAGTCTAGTGCAAGCAAAGCGGCACATGGGAAGCAGCTGTTGGAGGCAGAGCAGGGGGGAACTGAGCTGGGGGCTCGCTGGAGATGTTTCAGGGCACAGGAGCTCCAGCAGCTGCAGGCAGAACCATCCCGTCCGTAGGACCGCTCAGGGCAGCCCAGACGCCAGCCCCCTGCTCCACTCTGCCACCCTCTCCCAGCCCACGGTGCTCGGTCAGATTCACCAACTGGAGGAAGCAGAGCACCCCGGGTCCCATGGGGAAGCGGAGCACGGAGAGCTGGGAGATGAGTGTGGGGTGGAGCAGGCTGCCTCCCAAACCATGGTGAGGGGGAAGGTGGTGGCCCCTGCCGCCACCTGCGCCAGGCCCCCGGTAAAGCCCCTCGCTCGTGTTGCTCAGGGGAGGGGGCTTTGGGCAAGGTTGCAAGGCAGGGCCGGGGCAGGGCTTGGAGAAGGGGTGGGGCAGAATGGAGCAGGAGCAGGGCGGGGCCTGCAGCAGTGGGGTTGCCCTGGGCCTAAATTACTGGAGGATTTGCCTCAGGCCCCGCCTCCTCCAGGGACGGCCCTGGCTGCAGGCACTGAGACTGAAAGGTCTGGCTACCACAGGCACCGAAACACCTACACCCAGCTCTGTCACTGGCTCGGTGCCTCAGTTTCCCCAGCTCTTGCCTCTGTCCACTGGAAGCTCTTTGGGGGCAGGGCTGCCTCTCACACTGTGTATATAACCTGGGGGTGGTCCAAACTTTGGAGTTGTTTATATTTTGCAGGGTTCATAATGGAAATGGCTTTTATTCCTCCCACTCCCATAACACATTTTTCCCAGAAGGTGCTTGGATTTGCCAGTGGAATACGGGCGGGGTGGGGGGGGAGAGGCCGGGACTCCTGGCTTGTATTCCCAGCTCTGTCATTCACCAATCTGACCACAGGCAAGTCACTTTCTCGTTCTGTGCCTCAGTTTCTCCACCTGACAAATGGACAAAATTACACCAGCCTCCTTTGATGTCTGCCAGCGCAGCCTCCCCTGTGCTTGAGACCATAGACTGCACGGCTGCAAACTATCTTGGCAGCAGCTCTGCCTAGCTACACTCTGGGCTTCCTCTCTAAGGACAGCTGTGTCGATGGCTGTGACTCACGGTAGGGCCTCGAGTTGGCAGGGAAAGGAAAGGCCTGGAAGGCTGAGTATGAAAACATCCAGGGAGAAGGGAGAGAACCCAGCCCCAGGTGGAAGGATGGTGCCGCGGTGGTGCCCTAGCTCCCTGGTTTCCATTCTCTGCTCTGCAAGGGTATGTCTACACTAGCCCCCTAGTTCGAACTAGGGAGGCTAATGTAGGCATTCGAAGTTGCAAATGAAGCCAGGGATTTAAATATCCCGGGCTTCATTTGCATCTTGCCGGGCGCCGCCATTTTTAAATCCCCCTTAAAAATACCCGGGCCTTCATTTGCATCTTGCCGGGCGCCGCCATTTTTAAATCCCCCTTAGTCCAAACTCCATGCCTGCGACTACACACAGCACGGAGTAGGTAGTTCGAATTAGGATCTCTAATTCGAACTACCGTTACTCCTCATGGAACGAGGTGTACCAGTAGTTCGAATTAGAGATCCTAATTTGAACAACCTACTCCGTGCCATGTGTAGCCACGGGTACGGAGTTCGGACTAAGGGGGATTTAAAAATGGGGGCGCCCGGCAAGATGCAAATGAAGCCCGGGATATTTAAATCCCGGGCTTGATTTGCAACTTCGAATGCCTACATTAGCCTCCCTAGTTCGAACTAGGAGGCTAGTGTAGACATACCCCCACTGATTTCCCATGTGGCCTAGGGCAAGTCACTTAACCTAGATGGGTTGGTTGTTTGAAGGCACTTAGGTTCCTAGGGGGATGCGCAGATGCGTCTACGCAGAAATGCAGGGACAGTGCAAAGGCTTGGGCCTCGGGAGAGTCTGTGGGACACACAGACCCAATGATGCTCACTACTCGTATCAGGCCTGACAAACTCGCTACACCCACCACACACCCCGCGTTTACCCAGAAAGTGCTATGCAAGGTATCAAATGAAAGCTGGAGACACACTGGTCACTAATATCATTGCGAAATTATGTACTGATGCTGTCTGAGGAATTATGGTGACGTCCTGGCGTTATGCTGTGAAGTCTGTGGCCAAACACTGGATAAAAAAGGGCTTTTTTCCAGACAAGAGGGAACATAAGAACGGCCATACTGGGTCGGTACTGGGACGGTAGCTATAAGAACATAATGGTCAGACACAAGGTCCATCTTGCCCAGTATCCTGTCTTTGATGATAGCCACCCCAGATGCATCAGAGGGAATAAGTGTAACAAGGTGATTTGGAGTGATCTGTCCCTCTCATCCAGTTGCAGCTTCTACTAGCTGGAGGCATAGGTCACCGGGGGTTGCATCAACTCTAAATTAAACTTTGGGAAACCAACACAGAGGAAACTCTATTTGCATGGAAGTCAACAGCAAAAGCCAGATTTCTCTGAGGGAAGAATGTGAAATTAGCATGGGAAGACTCTGGTCTTGTCTATACTGGCATGTTTTGTCACCAAAACCTGCCTTTGGGTGAAAAACACTGAGAGTGTTTACACTGCAATGGCACTTTTGTTGGGAAAAACAACCAGTTTTGGCGACAAAAGAAATTCCAGACCCATGAGAGACTTTTGTCTTTTCCTTCCCTTCATTGTTGACAAAGAGCCAGTGAGGACTCTGCTGTTTGTTTTGTCAAGAGAACTGGCTTCCCCCAGTATCCCACAATGCCTGCCCTGATGGCTGCGCTCAGTGTTTTGTGATCTCTGCTGCCCTGCAGGCATGTGCCCCTCCCCTTTCAAAACTCCAGGAAGCATCTCACAGCTGAGTGAGCTGCTCCATGTGGGGAACAAATAAAAAGCAAATCATTGGCATGCTCCTGTTCTGCCCTGCTGGGAACACAGCAGCAGGCAGACTGCTGCTGCAGGGGGAGGGGCTGGAGAGACGGCTATGCTGCTTTGATATTCCTCAGCAGGGAGAGCTCACAGAGATATGAGGGATCCCAAGAAGCGCAGGGATCAGCTCTGCTTCCCAGAGCACTGCACTGTGGGATGCCTTCCCACAATGCTTTGCTCTATCAGTCGACAGGGGTGCTAGCAATGTGGCCATGAAATGTCAACAATCAGAGGCAGAAAAACTGGTTTTCACTTTTGGTGACGTTTGCATGTCGACAGCACTTTTGGTGCCAAATCTTCCCAGGGTAGACAAATATAACCACAGCGGAGTTGTCTCACTTCTGGGTCCAAACTGTGAGTTTGGGGGGAAATAAGAGAAACAAAAAGGGATTTGTTATCCATTTCCCCGAGGAGCACTGCGGGCTGAGTCACGCATGAAAAATCTGTGACTTTTTTTTTTTTAGTCAAATCAGAAATCAAACTCTCACTAGAGCAGTTTCCTCTCCCTCAAAGCCCTTTTGTGAAGAAGTGGAGCTTCCTAAAGTTACGTTTATCCTCTTAGAAACGTGATACACTTGTATTTTATTGTCACCAGCTCTGTTTCCACGGCCCTTTCTCAGTAACACGTACAACAATCTTTGTTTTATCACAGAGATCTCATGCTGTAATATTAAGCCACAGGTGAGGTTGAATCGGTGTGCGCACTCTCTCTTTGGAGAAGGAGTTTGGTTAATTGCTGTGAGTGTCCAGTGATGGGGGCTCCAGAGGGATGCTTTTTCATGGGGTTCAGGAACTGGGGTGCACTGTTACCTGCAAGGCAAAGTGAGTCTGATACAGCCCTGCAAAGTTTGTCTGGGTAGCTAATCGATTGGGGTGACAGGGAATTATCACCCAAGTTTAGTACCTGCTAATGTCTCTCCGGGTTTGGGCACTTTGGCTACGTCTGCACTGCAGCACTATTTTGGGATACCAGAGGTGTCCCGAAATAGCTACTCCGCATCTTTTGAGTGCACCCATTATTTCGAACTATAACGGGCTCGCTAATCCAATGTCCCTGTAAACCTCATACCACGAGGAGTAAAGGACATTTCAGAATAGCGATTTATTTCAAAATAAGTGCTGGGCAGACTGCGCCAAATTTCAAAATAAGCTATTTCAGAATAATATTGAAATAAGATGTGCCATTTGCATAGTTCAAATCGCGGATCTTCTTTCAATCTACGGTGCAGTGTAGAGGCACCCTTCAAGAAACCAGCACACCTGGGTCCCATTTTAATGCTGCTGAGGGTCTTTGGTCAAGTCACGTTCCTGACCCGTGCCTCAGTTTCCCCCATCTGTAAAATGGGGATTGTGACACTGACCTCCTTTGTCAAGTGCTCAGAGATCTCTGGAGGAGACGCACCAGTTGGGAGCCAGGGATTAGTGTCTTTCCGCACCAAAGTTGCTTTCTAAACTTGTCTCTCTGCACTTCAATTTCCCAACTATGAAATGAGATATTGCAAGACTCCAGTGTGGAGGGAAGAATTCATTCATGAGTGTAAATTGCTCTGATACTACACAGCCGGAGGCTGGGTAAATTACCTGAGATGGGGGAATGACTCCCCCACACTGGAGATCTAAGCTGGGGGAACCCCATTCTGACCTGGGGACGCTTGAGGAGAAGGCCTTTGTGTTTCTCCGGACTCTTTAGTCCTGTTTCCTCGCGGTCTCCCATGAGTGTCGCCAGGCGCCAAGCCGCCCAGTGAGGCATGCACGGAGCCGAACTGACCTTTTGATCCTTTCACTCCCTGCCTTCTGATTTAGATGCTAATTAGCCCTGGGTGGCTACAAAAGACAGTTTCAACATTCCCCACCCCACAGATTCTTCTCCCAGGCCTGCACCCCACGTCTGGGAGAATGCCGTAATGCACCTTATCAGCCTGAACCCCTCACCCGCCACAGCCCGTGGCTTTTGTAATAATAAATTATCCCTTGCACCTGGTGTCTGGAGATCACCAAGCACATTACACAAGGGGCATATGAGTAGAATTAGCCTCCCCTCGCATTGTACAGCTGGGGAAACTGAGGCACAGGGGAGTGGAGGGGCTTCGAGGAGGCCCCACTGCAAATCAACAGCAGAACAATCCCAGTTCTGTGACATCCCAGGTAGATGCCTTTATTTACTAGACTACACTGTTTTCTTGGAGGGGGGGATCCCAGCCAGGAGTACCTGTAACCCTGAGGGTGTGCACAGAGATCGTCCAAAGGGGTACCTCTCATCTAGATCTGTCCTGGGGAATACTTTGGGGCAGGTCTCTGGGCCATGCTATCCAGCAGTCAGCTGATCACAGGGGTCCCTTCTGGCCTTGGCTTCTAGGACTGTGGGTGGGCTGGATGGGGTCCCTATAGCACCCCTGCAATCGGGAGGAAGGTCCCAATGGGACAGCTCTGCCCATTGTGCCTCCTCCTCCTATTGCCAGGTGGCCCTGGGCCGAAGATGGAGGGTGCCGAGTCCCGGCGCCATTGCTAAGTGCTTCCTCAGAGCACCCCAAGAAGTCTGGGGCAGCAGTGGGGGCGGTAGCCTAGCATCCAAGGAGAGCTGAGTGGAAGTCCTTGCTTTGCCACAGACTCCCTGTGTGACCTTGGGCATGTCCCTTCACCTCCCCCACACCTCTGTTCCCCTTTGCCCACTGGCGTCAGCCGCATAGCCCTGGCTCCCGTGGCAGGGAGGGGCGCTAAGGGCATTGCAGAGTGGGAGGCCAAGGCACTGCCGGAAGGGGAGCAGGGTGGGTTCCTTAGATCCCAAGTGAGCAGCTCTTTGGTAGTGGCTGCAAAGGGAGGCTTCGGTCTTTGGAGCTGGTGGGTGCTGCTGGGGTCACCTGCCCGCATCCTGACCCTGGCTGTCTCCTGCTTGTCATTCCCAGCTGGCCCTGGAGTCTCTGGAGCAGGAGAAAGAGGCCCTGAGAGTCCAGATTGCTCACGTCCTGGAGGAGAGACAGCAGCTCATGCACCTGAAGATGTCCCTCAGCCTGGAGGTGGCAACGTACAGGTGAGTCATTCCCTCCTCAGCCCCTGGCAGTGCCCTCCTCAGAGCCCGGGCTGACCAAAACATCCCAGAGCATGGCACTAGGGGCCGCTGTACTGCAGAGACTCGTGCAGGCGGCTCAGTAAGGGGCGCTCTCCCTTTGGAGCCTGGGCTGACCACAATAACCCAGCGTGGCACTAGGGGGCGCTGTGCTGCAGGGAGCAGAGTGGGTGGCTCTGTAGGGGGCGCTCTCCCATTGGAGCCCCTGCTGACCACAACACCCCAGCATGGCACTAGGGGGCGCCATGCTGCAGGGAGCAGAGTGGGTGGCTCTGTAGGGGGCGCTCTCCCATTGGAGCCCCTGCTGACCACAACACCCCAGCATGGCACTAGGGGGCGCCATGCTGCAGGGAGCAGAGTGGGTGGCTCTGTAGGGGGCGCTCTCCCATTGGAGCCCCTGCTGACCACAACACCCCAGCATGGCACTAGGGGGCGCCATGCTGCAGGGAGCAGAGTGGGTGGATTAATAGGGGGCGCCATCAAAGCCTGTGCTGACCCTCACCCACACACCCCCTCGCATCAGGCCCTGCCCCCGCTCCACCCCTTCCCCAAACCCTGCCTTGCTCCTCCTCCACTCTGCCCCCTTGCCCTTTTCCCCATAGGGCGGTTGGTGCTGCAGCCACGGGCTCCCCAAAAATGCGGGCCTGGGGTGGCCCCCCAAACCGTCCTCAGCGCACCCGTCTCCCAGCCCATCTTCCTGGTCTTCAGGGATCTCCCACTCTTGAAATCTTCACCTCCCTGGAGGATGCTTTGGCCCAGCCCGAGTGTGTGGGCTCAGGGTGGGGGGAGCTGGGTGAAGAGTGGAGCCAGCTCTTGGCAGAGAACGGATTTGGGGGTGGGCCAAAGCCGGTTTGCTTCCCACCAGCTTTCCTCTCGTTGCTGTGCGGTCGAAAGGCTGTGCCACCTGCTAACGAGTACACGGCTCGTTAACATGGCCAGCAAGCTCTGACGGCTGAGACAGCTCAGCAAGGACGTGTGTGGCGCGGCACGTGTTTTTTGCTGCTCTCTGCCCCTTTCTGCAGCTGGCCAGGCGGTGTCAGGAATCAGGTGGGTAAGGAAGTAGAGGATCACAGGCTCCTGTGATTAGCAGATTGCTCCCAGCTAGGTTTTTGTTCCTACTGGTGGTGCACATTCACGGTGCACATACCACAATTATTCCACACATGCATGGAAACGATTCGAGGGAACATTGGTGTCAACACTGATCAGAAGCTAACCCCAATAGCAATTCCTAGACCTTTTCATTTGTATAAAGTAACCTTATTTGACAGATGGGGACGTTAAGGCACAGGGAGGAAAAATGACTTGCCCCTGATCACCTCGCAGAGCAGGAACTAGAATCTACATCTCCTGAGTCCCGACCCAGGGTTCTATCCACAAGGCCTCACTGCCTCCTCCTACTGCATATCCTGACATTGGAACAAGCCTATCCCCACAGGCCGTGGGGGCATGGAAAGGTGGGGGAATGTCAAGGTAAACATTCCGCACCATCTATGATCATACTGAAAAAATGCTCCCGTGTCCTTAGATACTTTTGCCTTGTGGAAAGGAAACTCCCCCCGGGGATGAGAATGCGGCGTGAGCGGATACGGAGCCGCCCGACCTCACCGGAGCTCGGGTGTTTTGTTTTGTTTTGTTTGGAAAAGCCTCTTTTGCAAAGGGATTAATAAATAAATAAAACGTGGGATTTGGCGCCTTGGGGCTTTCTTGTCCATTTCTCTTCTCCCTCCCTCCCCAAAGGACAGTCCCTGGGAACCTGCTGCCCAGCTACATTCCCGCCCCCCCTTCCTATCCAGATGGCTCCCGGACAAAAGTCGAGTTGGGGGGAGGGATTAGCATGAGAATAGCATCTTCTGTGGAGAGGGGGGAGCCCCTCGGGACTCGGCATTATGTCATCGAGGGCCTGCGCCTCCGTCCCCCTGGAAGCCGAGCAGGGAAGTGTTGTGCGCAGGTCTGGGAGGGCGGGGGACGAACAGGGGGCAGGGGAGCGGGTGGTTGGAAGGAAGGGCTCTCCTTTGCAAAGGAAAAAGGGAGCAGCGAAGCGAATGCAGCATTACCCAGTGTGTCCCTCCAGAAAAGCTGCTGGGTTCAAGGTCCCTGTAAGAAGGTCCCTTCAGCTCCCAACCTGGCACGTTAAATCTGGGGGAGGGGAGCAGCAAAAGGGAATGCTCTAGCGAGCAGGAAGGATGGGCTAGTGGTGAGAGCCTTCATGCTGGAGCCCGGGTGCAATGTCTGGCTCCGCGTGTGACCTTGCCCGAATCACGAAGCCACCGTGTGCCTCAGTTTCCTTGTGTGGTGCACTGCTCTTCCGCACTGAGGGTTTTTTGAGTTCCTCCTTCTTCAGAAGCATCTTAGGCCAAGGCCAGGCTGGGAGGCCACAAGCAGACAGCCAATAGAACAGACAGCAGCAGGGGGGGGGCTGCCGACCCCTGCCTCAGTTTACTTTGTTCTCTTTGCAGCCCCTCCGCTCACTCAACGTCCCCCAGTTACTGGCCCTCTGCGGGCTTCAGTTTCTTCCCGGATAAAAGGGAGCAACACTGGAATGGAATGGTTCACCCCGCATCCCTTTGAATTTTAGTGGTGTCTGGGCAATTCTGTATTGGACACTCCCAGTCCCACCCCCATACCTGCCCGATGGTTTTTCCTCCTTAAGACAAGCTCCGTACTTATTTTTCTGGAAGGGCAGGAAGGTTCTACTGCTATTGACTGCTTCTGATTGCTGAATCCACACCAATGTTCCCTCTAATTTTTTTCCGTCCATGTGCAGAATAAATTTTGTTATATGCACCAATGCATGTGCAGATGTGCCCCATCCATAGAAACACCGACTGCTGGCAGTGGGGGCTCTGCTAATCAGCTGGGTGGCACTGGAATCTCTCCTGGGTGGCCGCCCAAGTGCTCAGCTTAGGGGGAACCCTGCCCCACATCCCTGGGATGGCTGAAGAGTTGACAGCACCTCCTCCCCACCGCCCAAGTGTACAAAGGGGTGTGTAGAGTACAATGTATGCAAGCCAGGGATCACCCTCACAGTGTCTACATACAGCACCTGGCACAATGGGGCCCTGGTCTCTGGTGGGGCTTTGGGGAGCTGCTGGGCGCCATCTGTGTGAACAATACGGCATCTGATTGTTCCTTGCAGGACGCTCCTGGAAGCGGAGAGCAGCAGGCTGCAGATGCCTCCAGCAGAGTACAAACTGGCCAATGGCTTCAGAGGTAAGATGGAAAAAAGGCGTGTGTGGACTGGGAAGAGGGAGTTCTTTCGCAAGAAGAGGAAAGAGGAAAAAGCACAGGTGCCCTGGTGGCCATTCCACCCATCGTAATCACAGCTGACATGTGAGAGACCGTCCATGCAGTGTGGACACCACCTGTTGAAAAAGCAGATCGCTTTTTCAATGTGCTTTTGCCATGTGGACGCTCTTTTTTGGAAGACGTTTTTTTGGAAAATTTCTTCCGGAAAAGCTTCTTCTGAAAGAAGCCAACAGTCTAGACATAGCCTAGAGGGAAAATTGCAGAGTGAATTCTAAACACCCCGAAGAGGCATCATTCAGATCTTGAAAAGATCTTATGCCATTTTGTTTTCAGTTATTGTGAAGCAGGAAGCTGCCAGCATATTCCTGGAGGTGGATTAGCAGCGGCGGATATAGGGCAGGGCGAGTGGGGCGGCTGCCCTGGGCCCCGCGCTTCAATAGGCCCACACACATGCTACTACCTGTTGGCTGTGGCCGTGGCACATGCACGAAATTGTGCTGCCCTGGGCCCCGCAAAACTCTCATCCGCCCCTGTGGATTAGGATAGTCATCTTCCTTGTGTATAGAAAAATGACCGTAACTTCTTCCCCCAATAATGATATTTTGCTTTGACTGCAACTGCACACCCCTGTTAAATGTCAATAGACTTGCAAGGGAGATAGAGTTTGGCTCTTCCTCCTCCTCTCCCATCATTAACAGCTTGAGTACCGTTCTGGTGCGCTGTCACATAGCTGCTGTGTTCCACCCCAGAGATGGCTGCAGTCCAATGTTGGGTGATTCCTGGAGGCACATGGGGCACAATGGATCCTGGTACCCTGTTTCCAGAGTCTTTTCCACCACTCAGTTAAGCTGAGACTTGAGCTGTGTGGGCCCACTGCTGGGGGAGGGCGTGTGAATTTCACCCACCGCTTAGAGGAAAGACGCTATATCAAAATTAGACCATTTCCCTGTGGCATAAGGCAGCTGCAGCTCTAGGTAAGAAAATCAGGCCTCAACTGGAGTATTGTGTCCAGTTCTGGGCACCACATTTCAGGAAAGATGTGGAGAAATTGGAGAAGGTCTAAAGAAGAGCAATGAAAACGATTAAAGGTCTAGAAAACATGACCTATGAGGGAAGACTGAAAGAATTGGCTTTGTTTAGTCTGGAGAAGAGAAGACTGAGAGGGGGACGTGAGAGCAGCTTTCAAGGACCTAAAAGGGTCTGACAAGGAGGAGAGGAAAAAATTGTTCTCCTTGACCTTCGAGGACAGGACAAGAAGCAATGAGCTTAAATTGCAGCAAGGGAGATTCAGGTTGGACATTCGGAAAAACTTCCTGTCAGGGAGGTTAAGCACTGGAATAAATTGCCTACGTAGGTTGTGGAATCTCTGGAGATATTTAAGAGCAGGCTGGACAGACATCTATCAGGGATGATCTAGACCCGTGGTCACCAACCAGTAGATCAGGGGCTCTAAGGCCGTGTCCACACTCAGGGGTTCTTTCGAAAAAAGTACCCTTTTTTCGAAAGAACTTCCCCTGCATCCAGACTCAAGCCGCGTTCTTTCGAAATTATTTCGAAAGAACGCGGCTTTTCTTTCGATGGCGGTAAACCTCGTTTCACGAGGAAGAACGCCTTCCTTCGAAAGTTCCTCTTTCGAAGGAAGGCGTTCTTCAATGTAAAGAGGCCATCTTCGAAAGAGAGCATCCAGACTCGCTGGGTGCTCTCTTTCGAAAAAGCGGATTTCCTCTATCGAAAGATCCGCCTGCAGTCTAGACGCGATCTTTCGAAAGAGGCTCTTTCGAAAGATGCTTTCGAAAGAGCCTCTTTCGAAAGAAGCCTGCAGTCTAGACACAGCCTAAGAGTAGCTGTTGAGCCCTCTCTGAACTGTGCACCTGCGCAGTACATTTACATTAGATTTCCTCATCTAATGTAGGCGGGGCTTCAAGGAAGGGGCGGGGCAGTAGATCTTCGCCTGTTCTGAGACTTAAAAAGTGATCTTGGGTGTAAAAAGGTTGGAGACCACTGATCTAGACAGTGCTTGGTCCTTCCGTGAGGGCAGGGGACTGGACTTGACCTCTCAAGGTCCCTTCCAGTTCTAGTGTTCTATGACTCTGTATGGAGTCATGCATTTGACTGAAGCATCTTTCCAGGACGAGAGCCAGTCTTAGCCAGGAAACATTCAGGGATGGCAGATACACCACTTCTTTGATAGTCTGTCGCGACAGTTAATCACCCTCATTTTTTAGGCTTATCATTGGAATTGGTCTGACTTCAGCCTCCAGATCTCAGTTCCTGGTCTGCTTTTCTTTGCTAGATCTTTAGCCCTTGCGTAGCTGGTGTTTTCTCCTGGGTGATATCCTTCTGGATACTCATGAGGCTTGTTTTCCTCTGTACTCTTCACAGATGCCAAGCTGGAAGTGAGTACCAGCAAACTCCAAGCCATGACGCCGGAGAGCAGGAGACTGGTTTCCTGGGACCACAGACTGAGCCCCACCACCTTCCAGAAGGGAGAGAGCAAGGCACCGCTATCAAGAAACCCAAACGATTCCCCCCAGCTACGAGCTGCCGCCGGGCTGACCAAGAGCGACGGCCCCGCTGCTAAAGAGTTCCAGAAAATAAACTCCGTCCTTCAGTCCCCGCTCCTGAAAAGCTCCCATGCTGTGAGGGATACCACGGCCCCTGGCAACTCAATCCCCAACCTGCAGGACTCATCTCACCCTGAAGAGGCGATCGCAGCTGCTGAAGTAAAGAGAGTGGCCAACTCTTTCTCCCAGGAGCCATTGGAGAGGCTGGACTCCATGCGCTCCGCGGTGACGGAGCCACAGCCGCTGGGAGGGTCCGATTCAGACACGGAAGGCAGGAGCCCGGGAGCAGAAGGTGGGAATCCAGCTGCGAGCCAGGTGGGAATAGCAGAGATTGATCAGGAAGATGAATGTCAGGAGGAAGCCGGGAAAGAGGTTGAGAAAGATCCCAGTGAAGAACCACCTGGCAAGCTGGCTCCCAAGAATTCACTTTGTCCTGGCCAGGTGGTCAATGAAGCCTTGGAGGATGCACTGAAGGAAGTAATAGATCGCTCCGACTCCAGCTGTCCTGAAGTAGCTAGGGCCCCGAATGACGTGCATTCTTATGACATGAGTCGCCTGGAAGAGGCTTCCGGGCTAGCTGCTTCTCCTGGCACGGTGGGATTGGAAGAAGGACAGGCGACTGAGCATGTCAGCCAGATAGAAGCCAGTCATCCAGCAGAGCAGCTCGAGGTAGCCAAGGGCTCTGCGCCCACAGATGAAATGGAAGGTGGCCTAGAGGACAATTTTGAAGAGGCGGCCAGTGAAGCAGACCTGCAGAAGTTCCCGGCTGTGAAAAGCTCCTCTCAGCAGGACGGAGACGGGTCTCAGTCAAGTCCTTCCATCATGCAGAGTGAAGCAAGGATCCCTGACAATCTAGCCACCAAGGGAAGGCCTGAAATAGAGACCCAGGAAGAAGTCAGCTTTTGGGAGCAGCATGAGAGTGAAAAAGAGGAGACATCAAGATCACAGAGCACAGAGATGCATGGGGAGCCAGCCGCGGTTTGCAACGGCACGGAGCCGGGAAGCCCATTAAATGAAGGCGAGCTGG